CTGTCTACACTGGCCCTTTTGCGCAAAAGTCTTTCGGAAAAAGACTTTTGCCTGAACGGGAGCAGCATAGTATTTCCGGAAAAGCACTGATGATTTTACATGAGATCGTCAGTGCTTTTCTGGAAATTCAAGCTGCCAGTGTAGACAGCTGGCAAGTTTTTCCGCAAAAGCAGATGATTTTGCAGAAAAACTTGCCAGTCTAGACACAGCCATTTTGTTCATTCCCTCTGGGACACCTGGCATGGATTCTGTCGGAAGACAGAATACTCAGCTAAATGGACATTTGGTCTGGTCCAGTATGGGTGTTCTTATTATTATGTAACAAATTCTGTACTTCATTACTTATAATCACTTAAAAGCTATCTTTTTGTAGATAATAAACTTGTGTTATTGTTTTATCTAAACCATTGTGTTTGGATTTAAGTGTTTGAGAATCTCCACTTAGGATAACAGGGTTTGTGCATATTATTTTCTATTAATAAAATGATAGAGAGCTGGGCAGTGCAAGACATATATGAGGAACAGTCAGGGACTGGGAATTTGTTGATATGCAGTATAAGGCTGGCCATCTGTAGCACTCATACAATATAACTGGAAGTAACTTACATGCTGAAGGCTGGCACTCCAGGTTGGAAAACTGAGGAGGATACAGCTGTCCCTCAGTTCAGATTGCATCCAGGGTAATGTCACACAGGGATCCAATTTTCATAGTGGCTTATGAGCAGCTACACTTTTGATCTCTATTCAAGCAGTAGAGTTTAGAGGGTTGTAGCCAAATATTTGCTGGATCCTGAATGATCCATGTGTCAGGTTTTTTTGGGGGGTTACGTTTCTTTTGCATGGGGATGTGTAAATAACCTGGAATTCAGTGGTAAAAACATGCATTATCTATTCTGATGGTACAATGTATTGGCAAGCGGCCAAAAAAGTAGGATCTGGCAACAGATGCAGTGTGTTGGACAAGTGTCATTTACAGTATTATTGAATAGCAATGCATGGGCATCTGGATTTTTACAGTATAGTTAATGCAGTTATAGCCCTGATGCTGCCAGAAATGCAGGGGCTGGGCTAAAAAAAGCCCAACATAGCCAGGTGCTAAATGCATGTTTTATGGTGTTGTTGCACCACTTTGAAACAAGACAGGATGAGGTGTTTACCTCACACAAGGTAGAGCAGGTTAAATTAATTTAATTAACCTGACAGACTGTATGGGGAGAGAAGAAGGGGAGAAAGTAAGGGTTTAAAAAACTAATGGATGATGGATCTCAGCTGAGAAAGAATAGGTGGGGCTGCTATAAAGCCAGGAAGTTGGCCAGAAAGGGACTGCAGTGAAAGTAACCTGTAGCCTTTTCTTAGAAAGAAGTTGTATTGGGAGCTATGAAGTTAAGTAGGCTGCAGTGAGAAGAAGGAATTTGGGCAGATAAGCTGGGGCAGGAGAAGTTAGTAGATGTAGGAAGGAGTCCAGGAAAACAGCAACAGGGTGTGAGAGTAGACTGCTGTTGTTAGATGTAGGATCCTTGCAGTAGAGAATGTGTCTGGTTTCCCATACGAGCCACTGGGAAAGTGGCACGGACCAAGTAATATTTGGGGCCAAAATTTGCAAGGCACAGTAGGACCAGCGCCAGACCGTGGGTTTTGTGACACTCTTGCTTTTGGATGCATCAGGAGTTACATTTTATTTTTATTTATATTTATGCAATTGGAAAGGCTAGACTTATTCTCTATTTTGATCCTATAGTTGGGGAGGAGAGTGAAGCCAAAAATTGGCATGATCCACAGATCAGAGTTTATTTCTTTTTCCTTTTAAAAGCAAGCTTGTGGCACTCTATGTGCAATTACTTTGCTTGTATTTGGAGCACTGTTAGACAGCAATCTATGCTTCCCTCAAGTCACTTTCAATATATAAATGTTGAAGAAAGTGTAGGATTTCAGATTAACTTCAATTTAACTGTTAGAATTATGATTTTTCCTCCCTGTCTCCTTCTAGTCTAAAGGGATAAAGTATAGCTCAATGTAGACTTTAAAAACATTTTCTTTGACTCCTCTCAAGATTGCTATGGGCAACCTCATCTCAGCATAAACAGATCATTATTAAATTCTGTCCCTTCCTCTCCCCCACCTCACGAGCAGAAAAACAATCCTTGTAGAGCCTCTGTGTGTGCTGGGAGCATGATCTTAAAGCAGGGAAAGTGTACACACATTTTTCTGTGCTACTGACCAATATTCTCTCCAGTGAACTAATAGTGTCTCGAGGAAGGGGATTAACACAATGATTTCAAATCAGTTTGGATATAAAAATGTAAATGGAGGAAATCATTAAAATGAAAGTTGAGGGATTTATTATTTGTAGATCATGATTTCTATGGAAGACAAAGATAAGGCACTGGTGCACGAAAAACTAGGTCTGAAGGAACAGCTCAAAGATTCCATTCAGAACAAATTCGTTGTGACAAGCTGCCTGTATTACTGGTTAGACCTCACCACAGATGTTAACTTACAGATAATGACAGTCCATTCTCCCTCTCCTTGCAGGACTATTTCAGTTCTCCTTCACATCCTTTAGCCACAGAAGCCTAATGTCTTTCAAGACAACATGAGTAACGTAGAGGCCCTACTGACATGCATTCAGGCATTTGGGGGGTCTAGGTGGGGGAAGAGCAAAGTTACTTGAAGAACCAATTGCAATTTGCTTTTCATATTTTAAAATCAAAATGACCTCCACCATATTTTTCCTCTTATTTTTTTCTCTATTTTTAAATAGAGAGTTCAGTGCCATCTAGTGGGGGAGGGGATCAAAATAATAGCTCAATATGGCTACGTCTACACTGGCCCCTTTTCCGGAAGGGGCATGTAAATTTCACTAGTCGTCGTAGGGAAATCCACGGGGGATTTAAATATCCCCCGCGGCATTTAAATAAAAATGTCCGCCGCTTTTTTCCGGCTTTTAAAAAAGCCGGAAAAGAGCGTCTAGACTGGCCCCGATCCTCCGGAAAAAGCGCCCTTTTCTGGAGGCTCTTATTCCTACTTTGAAGTAGGAATAAGACCCTCCGGAAAAGGGCGCTTTTTCCGGAGGATCGGGGCCAGTGTAGACGCTCTTTTCCGGCTTTTTTAAAAGCCGGAAAAAAGCGGCGGACATTTTTATTTAAATGCCGCGGGGGATATTTAAATCCCCCGCGGATTTCCCTACGACGACTAGAGAAATTTACATGCCCCTTCCGGAAAAGGGGCCAGTGTAGACGTAGCCTATATGTTCCTGTTCACAGGGATCGTCTGCTGCTAACTCAGTTTATTCAATGGGGAGAGCTGAGTCTCAGTGTTTCTCTTCTCTTTTTGGCAATCCTTTATGCTACTAGGTTGCCAATGGATATATCTGAGCCATCTTCTGCACTCAATGGCACTTTAGTATTATACTCTGCTGAGAAGCCTCGATCATGATGACAATTGTACACTAATTACAGGGATTCAAACACAAAACAAGAACCAAACCAAAACCAGATAAAACAAATCTAATATATATTTTAGAAATGTGCATCTGTCTGTCTGTCCATCTGTCTGTGAGTCAGTTTATTCAAGAATTCTTCATAAATGATAAGAGCTAGGACCACCCTATTTGGGATGCAGCTTCTTTTATCCTAACTTAAAGCAAGGTCAGGGTTTGATTGTGCCAGGACAATGGAATGTGCCTGGAATTTGACTGTTTCTCATAAAATGGAAAGGAAGGGGTCTGGCAGGAGCAAAATGTATACTGCAGAATGAGCCCAGGGGGGCAGCAAGGGACCAGAGATGGTGACCAGGACACCTATAACCGACTGGGCCAGCAGAGGGTAGGGAAAAGAAAGGCACAGCTATCTACTATATTTTTCAGAGAGTTTATCTGTGTGTCTGTCTGTCATGCACCCTCCCCGGGCTGTACCCACTGCAGGTGCAGTGGCCGTAAACAGGCACTTTTCATCTAGCCCCAAGCTACTGAGGTGAGAGAGAGCCTCAGTGTAGACTGCATATTGAATCCCTAATCTCCAAACTCACCCCAGAGCAATGATTTAAATGAAGAAAAACAAAAATTAATTGAATTAAGGACCCAAGCAGTGCCAGGTAAATCTTCTAGAAAAGCAACTCCGGGTAAATCCTCTAGGGAACGTCTACCTGGCAGTATTATTTTGGAATAACTGATGTTATTTTGAAATAACAAAATGCACATCTACTCATCAAAATATTATTTCAAAATAATGTCGAGCTGAAGGACTTCTTATTCCAACTCCTCTAACCCTCATTTTATGAGGAGTAAAGGAAGTCGAAGGAAGAGTGTTCTTCCTTCGACTTCCTGCTGTGTAGTCAGAGACAAAAGCTGAATTAAAATATTTTGACTTAAGCTACACAATTGACATAGCTGAAGTTGCATAGCTTAATTCGACTTTTGCTCTGCTGTGTAGACGTATCCCTAGTTATTTATATTTGGCAGTGGCTGGGACTGCAGCTAAAAGTCCTGCACAACCAGAGGAAGATATACAGTCTAAATCCGTGGTCCCCAACCCGGTGCCCGTGGGCGCCATGGCGCCCGCCGGGCTCTTCACATGCGCCCGCGGAGCAATCTGGGCTGGCAAGTGCCAGCCCCGGGCGCATGGCCGGTCCCGGCCCCGGGGGCGCCGCGCATACCCTTGCCAGCTCCGGCGCCGGCCTTGGCCCCGCCCCCAGGAGCACCGCGCGTGCCCTTGCCGGCTCTGGCGCCGGACTTGGCCCC